TATAATATGTAATTAAATGTATCTATCTATATAATTGTTAGAAATATGAAGTGTCTCGACTTTTTTAGTATATTATAAAAATTTAAGTCAAAAAGAGAGAAATTATTATCTATTCCATTTCATTTTAATTTGAGAATTTTTTTTTTAAAATAAGTTCAAAAAAAATTATTTATATTTTTAAATGCGCTATAAAAAATTTATATATATATATATTTATCATATCTCTCTTTTATTTTTTCTCCCTCAATTTCTTATCATGTATATTTACAAGTGAAACTTTATTTTTCAGAACAAACTGTACATTAATTGAAGCTTTTATATTTCGTTTGATAGACTTGGAGTAGAGAGGTGTGATGAAAAGAAAAAAGAAGATATTGTTCACCTCTAGCTTGGTGGAGTAGAAGCGCAAAGAAGTAAAAAAAAAATTAATAGGATTTTTAACAAATTAAGCTATCGGAACACCACAACATAATATCTATACAATAGGATATACAACTTTCAAAAATTTCTTCTCTAATACTAAGTGGTCAAAACAACTCAACAACATGACAACTCTATAAATTTAATACAATAACAAAATCAACACACAACTTTACATCTTACCACTCAATGATCATTATTCATATTCAACTCTATCAACACACATTGTACAACTCATGTTTATTTCTCAACTAACAACTTACAACAAAATCATCACATACTACTTCATCACTACAACTCATTTATCATATTTTCATTTAACAACTTAAAATAACGAGTATTCAACACTTCATCAATTACATATTCATATCTTTCTTCAGCAACTAGTGCCCAACACAATCCAAGTAGGGAGCTCTTTGCTTCACTTACATTTGACGCTACACAACTTGTGCCTAGTGATGCTAGGGCATAAACCCCAGAGACCCAATGCTTGGTGTGGTAAAGCACCATGCCCAACCTCATATTGGGCAAAGTCTCTACTTGATTCTTGCCTAGCATCTCTACATCAACATCCAACGAAATCCAAACAAAGAGCTCTTAGGGTTGCCACGCTCGATGCCTTTCAACCATGCTCAACATCATTCTAATCCGAATCAAGTTTCTCTCCTCATATTTAAAGCCACCAATATTGTGCCTGGCATAACTGAGACAGAGAGCCTCGAGTTAGAACAACACTCGGCGCTTTGAAGGCACACCCAACGTGACATCAAAATTCTACATATGCAGAACCTGAATTTGAGCCACAACCTGAAATCCAATAAGGATTCAACACATGCAACATCAAACGTTGCTTACAAAACATCACAACCAACATATATCAGCACTCAAAATAACATGCAACCTCAATCAATTTAAATCACCACATTTTTGCTCAAGAACACAAAACCCTAACTTTTATCACACAACCCACTTTGATTTTGATCAACAACATCAAAGAATTACAAGGAATTCATACGACACACATTCAACACATTATTCAACAACTCAACACTTCACTAGAAGCAAATATCCAACTTCCCTTACCTTGAGGTAGCTCGGGTTCGAGGTAGGAAAAAAAAGAAAGAAAGATCAATGCTCCGCAACAAAATCAACTACTTGTTTCAATGTTTCCACCACCTAAATCACAATACAACTTAGAAAAAGATTGTAAGAAGAAGAGAAGAAGATTGAGTAAAAAAGAACTCACGTATTAGAGACTTTCTCTCTAGGATCTTTTCTTTAGACTTCTAAGGGAAATTAGTTTATGAGGCTCTATTCAAACAAAAATCTTATATATTATTCCTTTTGGGATCAAACTGGATCTTTTCCTAAAGAAATCCCTTCTCAACACTCCAAATCTCTTAGTCTCTCAACACTGATTAACAACTCACTTAATAACATAAAATAATTAAGGGTAATATAATATTATCACAACTTATAGTGTTACATCTAATATATAGAACATAAATCCTTGTAGAGAGAACATGAAGAAAGTAAGAAATATAGATCAATTAAAGAAAATAATAAGTACCACTAATTTCACTCCAAAACATTTTCTTGTCTTGTGTTTCTTATTGGTTTAAAAGTTAAAGTTTCTATGTTTCTTCTTCTCCTTCATCATATGACAAAGACAAAAGAATTTCAAGGTTAAATGAATAATTTGTGTGAATCATTCAAAAGAAAAAACTCTAAACCTTAAAACACACATTATAATATTTTTATTTATGGGAATAAGATATAAAATATAAGATAAAAGATGTGAAGTAGTTAAAGAAATAAAAAAAAAAGTAAAATAAAATTATACGTTATGCTACAGTGTGAACAAAAAAGAAATGAAAGGTTTGCTTTTTCTGATGAAAAGAATGAAAGTTTAAAATGAATTAAATGAGACTCTGCACACATATTAAGTTTTTTATTTTGTATTTCTTTTTAATTACATTTATTTTAAAACTGTAATAATTAATGAAATTAATCTTTTATGATATTGTTAAAGTTTTTCCATATTAATGTGTTATTATATAATAATATTAATTTTAATTTTAATTCTATATAATATGTTGAATGCTTTTATGGAGATTTTAGAGAAAAAATATTGTAGAAGTTGTTCGTTTTATTTACATCAATATATATATATATATTACAAAAATTATAGATTTTAATTATTTTAATTATTTTAATTTAGTTATTTATGTCAAAATATTTTTAAAAAAATAGTTAATCATTTTATTTGTTGACATAAAATCTATATTTACTTTTATTCAATTTTATTGATTTATTTTGTCCAATTAATTTTTAGAATTTAACATAAATATAATAATAATTATTAATGATTTATACTATAAAATACTTTAAATTACTTGTATTTTAAAATTACCCATAACATTATTTTTCAATCAACTTTTTTCCTTCAAATTTTAATAATCAATATAAATATTTTACATGACTTTTAAGGTGATAATTAATTTTAATCAAATTTTGTAATTTTTTTTATTTACAATTACTTTAAAACGGTAATAATTGATAAAATTAATCTTTTATGATGATGTTACAATTTCTTATATTTATGTGTTATTATATAATAATAATAATAATAATTTTAATTTTAATTTTATATGAAGAAAAAATACTGTAGTAATTGTTCAGTTTACATACATCAAAATAATTTTTTTACATAATTTGTAGATTTCAATAATTTTAATTTAGTTGCTTCTGCAAAATATTTAAAAGATTTAGTTATGTAACGACCCGGTTAGCCACTACACTTCCAACCACCGCACACCGGAAACACTAGACAGAATAGAACGAGTATATAATTATAGGGTCTAGAATATAAATATATACAGAGTTCCAATCCAACTAGAGTTAGAGCGTGCAAAAGAAATTACAATCAAATGCTACTATCCCAAGTAACTACACCTAAAAAAAATCATAAAAGCGATCAGCTCTACTGGTCCGCCGAAGACTCATCATCAGACGCCCACCTATCCCTGCTCTGCTCCCATACATAGTATGATCATTGCAGTCCAACATCATGGAGACAACAAAAGGGTAAGCTAGTGCAATTAAAATTCAACATATAAATATATATATATCAATATAAATAAACAACAGATACAGTTATCAGCACACTTGTACAGCTTATACCACTCAACAATATCAGCACCGCAATGCGGCAATATCAGCACTGCTTAGCAGCAACAACAGCACCACTCTAGTGGCTATAACGGCACCGCAAAGCGGCAACAACAGCACCGCCTTAGCGGTTAGAATCAGCACCACATGTGTGGCTAACAACAGCACCGACTTAGCGGCTATAATATCACCCAACTCAGCATAGCTCAACACAGCACAACACAACACAGCACAACACAGCATAACACAGCACAACAATTCAACAAAATTATTATTTTCTATAATTCAGCCCAACAGTCTATAATTCCGCTATACTATAAAATTTCTCTTATTAATCCATTGATTCCAGCTCAATAATACACCTCTAATACAACTAACATATTTATCTCAGCTTTATCCCCTAGTCATCACAACATATTCATCAAATTCAACTTGGTTCAGCATATAACATCATTGATTAACAATTTCGGCACAACTCAACAGCCAACATCCTATAGATTATCATCTCCTTGCGTGCCCGGCGCACTCGAGGTCGCGCCTAGCGCGACTTAACCCGAGAGCACCAGGACCAGCGCGCCCAGCACAGGAGTACTCGCGCCCAACGAGCCTCAACCCGAGAGCACCAAGGCTCTCCCGCGCCTGGCGCAATTCCAAATTGCGCCCAACGCCTGCCTGGCAGAGACTCAAGGAGTCTCGTGCGCTCAGCGGGGCCTAACCCGCTCCCAGTTTGGGGAAGGCAGAGACCTACCAAGGTCTCGCGCCCAGCGCAATTCACAATTGCGCCCGGCGTGCTCTTGGCAGAGACTCCCAAGGAGCCTCCGCGCCCAGCGAGTCCAAAAGTGCGCCTAGCGCGGCCCAAGTATCCCAAAAACATGTTACTCTTGATATCGCGCCCAGCGCAGCTCGAGTCACGCCCGGCGCGGGCCAACCAGAGACCCCCATTTGCAAGCTCGCCCAGCGCACACAGCCTTGCGCCCGGCGGGCTTGCCTAAACAGAGTCTCCTGGTGGTCGCGCGCCCGGCGCGAAGAACAGCGCCCAGCGCGAACTCATCAGTAACTTCCCCAAGTTCGAAAAATCTCCAAAAACCTGCAAAACTTAACAGAAAATCCACATGCAAACGGTTCAAAGTGTCACATTTTCATCATACATCATGAAAAACATCTCCTTTTCAGCATGCATTCACAGATTATGAAGATCCCCCAAATTTTCACCCTACCCCGAAAACCCCAAAGGTGAGTGTTCCTCACCACAGCTCATCAATTTCACGAAAATCGGTTATGCCATGTGATTATGCATTCCTTCACAAACCAAACAGCCATAAGTCTAGCTTCCCTTACCTCAAATCAAGAGATCCTAGCTCCGGGAAGTAGAAGAAAATGCTCAATGGGGAAGAAAGGGAGAAGGAGAAGAGGAAGCTCCGCACGGCTCGACTAGAAATCCAATCCTATTCTTGACCAGCACCTTGAATCAGCAACTAGAATGAGTCAGAAATGTGAGGAAGGGGGTGAAGGAGAATGCTGAATGTGAAAGCTTGATAGTGTGGGAATGAGAGTAAGAGAGGGTAAGGGTAATTGGGGAAAGAAAAGAGAGGGTCTCACAAGTTAATTCTTTTATTTGTTGAAATAAAACATGTATTTTTTTTTCAATTTTATTCATTTATTTTGTCTAATTAATTTTTATAATTTAACATAAATCTAAAAATGATTAGTAATGATTTATATTATAAATTATTTATTAACAAAAAATATTAATATATATTTTTATTTTTGAAAAATTAGTTAAACCTATTGAAATATTTTTTAAAAAAATAGTTTTTTCACTTAAAATTTATATTTATTTTTATTTCAATTATTTTTGTTCATTTTGAAGAAATAATATTTATAATGTATAACAATTAAATTTGCCTAAGAAAAGATATAGAAGTTTAATTGATAATTGATTTTGATAGGAAATATTTGAATATATATAAAAATAATTTTGGAAGGAAAAATAATTAGTAATTAGTATTTATATTAAAACAAAATTTTAATAAATGTTCAGTAATTATTAAAATATTTTTTTATTCTTTTAATTTCATTGATTCTATTTAAATATTAAAAAACAAAAAGTCATTTTTTTGAAGTAATAATTTTCAAATGGATTTATGATAATTATTTGTAATCACTTACATTATAAAATATTTATTAATTATTAAGGTGAAATCTAAAATACCTTTATTAATTATTAAGTAATTATTTATTTTGATATATTTATTTTATTTTAATTATTTTCAATATAAAATTATTTATAATATTTATATATAGAAAATTATAGGAGGAGTTTTGGAGAGAGTATTAGAGGGAATAAAGTTGTTGAAGAAACTAATACAAAAATTAATTAATTTAACAAAAAAAAAGGGTATAAAAATAATACTAATAACTACTTCATTTTGCACATATAAAACTTGCCTCCAATAATTCCCTCCAATGAATATGTCCTTAATATTGTTCGCTCCTAAATATTTATATATATATATATATATATATTATTATATATATATATATTATTAGAAAAAAAATTATAAAAAAATATAATATCTATCCCCTTAAAACTTTTTTATATAAATTTTATTATAAAAATAAAATAAGCTAATACATAAATTAATTAATTTATCCAGTAAAAACGTATAAAATCAATGACGTAAATTGTTGACATAAAATATGTATTTACTTTTATTGAATTTTATTTATTTATTTTGTCTAATTAATTTTTACAGTTTAATATAAATCTAATAATGTAGCAATGATTTATATTATAAAATATTTTTAAAAAAATATTAATATATATTTTGATTCTTTCAATTTAGTCAAATGTATTGAAATATTTAAAAAAAAATAGTTTTTTTTATTTTATTTTTTTACATAAAATCTATATTTATCTTTATCCAATTGTTTTTGTTTATTTTGCAAAAAATAATATTTACAATGTATGATGATTAGATTTGTCTAAGAAAAGATATAGAAGTTTGATTGATAATTGATTTTGATAGGAGATATTTGAATATATATAAGAATAATTTTGAAAGGAAAAATAGGTAGTAATTAGTATTAATATTGAAACAAAAACTTAATAAAAGATTATTAATTAACAAAATATATTTTTTAATTTCGTTGATTATATCTAAATATTAAATAATAAAAGGTCATTTTTTTGAGGTAATAATTTGTAAATATACATCTAATAATTATTTGTAATCATTTACGTTATAAAATATCTATTAATTATATTAATTGTTTTGATATATTTATTTGATTTTAATTATTTTTAATATCAGTTTATTTTATAATAATATTTATATACAGAAAAAATATAAGAGTTTTAGAGGGAGTGTAGGAAGAAAGTTCTTTATATTATTAATAAATTTTTTACTGATAAAATTAGACTAATTTTATCTTTCCGACTATGGCACTGAAGTGTGCAAATTCTTGTTCAAGCACTATGGTATGGTGGTGACCGTATTATCCAGGTTTATTTCAAGGATAGATGCAATAACTTAGTTTAGTAATGATAAGTAGATAACAAACAGAAATGACAAAAACATTCCATGTGAAACCGACCGATAATTGAAACCTAGCTAACAATAATTCTTGTCTAGTTTCAAGGTTTTTTTCGTCTTCTTCTTCTAAGATTGATCATTTATTGGAAGGTTGCTCGAACCATCACTAGTACGAGTAACCAAGTTTTCCCAAGTCCCAAGTTAATTACAAAAACTAATTAATATAATATTTTATGAAAAAATATTTCACCTCGAATTCGGATGGAAATAAAAGGAAGTAAAAATAATATATATATATATATAATAATGTAATACTCAAAAGAATAAAATGGAAATGAAATAGACGAGATTAAAAGAAATACATATTTATAATTACTTTATTGTTACAGATGTAATGAACATACACATTACTATACAATGCACTTGCACATGTTACTATTGACTTACAGTCTTACAGATGTAGCATACACATTGCTTCATACGGCACATGTTATGAGACATAAATAATAATGTTGTGCGAAAATCACTCCAACAATTCCTGTTTCCTTTCTTGTTCATCCATACTATCACAAAATGTTTTGCCTTCTGTCTCCGGCAAACACACTACAAACATGCCACTGCACCCTATCACCATTCCAAAAACCCCGTAACACAAAAACCTATGCTTTCTACTGGCTGCCACCAACACCGGACTAATTGCACCACCCAACGCCACCGTCTCCCTCGCCAATGACAAGGCAAAGTTGCGTACAGGAGTTGGGAACAACTCAGTGGTGTATATCAAAGCAACATCACACGCGGCGCAAGCACACGAGAAGGATATCAACTCAAACACGATTTGCAGCCTCGTCATTATCGTCCCTTCCATGGTTGCTAACACACTCGAAATCCCACTTACCATAGTCAGAAGGAAAATCGCACTTCTCCTGTTGAACTTGTCTAGGAGGATGTAGCTGATCAAAGTGGATGGAATCTCTGACAAGGCGTTGAATGTGACACTCAGGTAAAGGTTAAACGACAATATTCCAAGACCTAGAGGCATGCCATAATAAACCAATCCAATACCTAACCCCATCGCCATGATTACCAATAACCTTCTTGAAGACCATTTCTTTTGCAACATAATCTTCAGGATCGAGTACAAATCAGCATTCCAAACTTCTTCCTCAAGGGACAAGCTAGAGATGGCCAAATTCAAGTTATTATGCGTTGTTGATGTTATGCTTTTTAATATTTCCACAGCTTCTTCTTTTTTGTGTCTTATGAGAAGCCATCTTGGAGACTCGTGAGCGAAGAAGTATATCAATCCACAGTATAAAAGAGCTGGAAGAGAAGTCCAGAGATATAGGTTTCTCCAGGAAAATCCTCGGTTCACGTAAGCCAAAGGTGAGAGGGTCAAAAACCCTAAACTGAAAACGAAGAAACCCATAACACCAAGCTTCCCGCGCCAGCCTTTAGCCACGAGTTCAGAAACCAACACAAGCGACGCGGTTCCAACCGTGGCACGGCCAAACCCACTAAGGAATTTGAACGCTGAGTAGATCCAAACGTTGGTTGAGAAAGTGGCGAGGAAGGAAGAGAGGGACATGATGAGGCATGAAAAGAAGAGCATGTTCTTGCGACCGAGTGAGGAGTCAGCGAGAGTGGCCAGAACAAACCCCCCCACTAAGCAGCCCATGAAGAACATGGAGGCCGGGAGGCCCATGATGAAGGAGCTCGAACACTCCAGGCCGAATTCTGAGATGATGGAGGTGTGGATGGGCCCATCCCAGGCCCATGACTCCTTCGGAAGGCTGCACATGTTGCTTGCTGAGCTGCATGGCTCGTCCATGCAGTGCCACGATGGTTGTGCATCTGTGAAGATAGTGATGAAGGTTTGTTGACCATCAAAGAACCAACTGAAGGAGATGAGAAGAGCTTGGAGGAGTTGGGTCCAGTTGAGTTCTCCTATGCACTTGTCAATTGTGGAGCCAAGAGACGAATGGTTATGGTGGTCTTCAGCATCGTGATTTTGGAGGAGTGTGTCGGATGAGTTAGGGTGGCTTGAATCAACCATTTCCAACCCTATGCTTTGTGGAAAAGTTATGTAGTTACTAGTGTAGGATCACTCTTAGTGGTGTGCATCAACCAAAACCTTCTTTAATAGCAATTAACAAACCCTCTTAATCGGTGGTTACGAGGTCTATCTAGAGACACAAGTTGTCAAATTTACTGTTTATAAATTTGATTTTTTATATGTAATATTTGATTAACAAAAATCACGTTAAAAAAATTTATTAATGGCGGTTAAATTTATTATTGAATGAACGAAATTAAAGAGCTAGTTCATTCGAAGGATTATATATGTTATTGATGCACTACAATAAAATAGACTTTTAATACATTTAATATGATTTTTAGTGGTAATAAAAATTGCTACAAATTTTTTTACTGGCATTTCACACATTAGTCATTGTATGCAGTGTCGCTAAAACATTTACGGACAATTATTCTATACGCTGGTAAAGACTCTCATAATGTCGGAAAAAATGTATAACTTTTTGTGTCATTTGTTACTGACATTTAAAATTGTCGCTAAAAATTTAAGAAAAAATTTATAATACTTTTTAATTATCTTATTTTTAGTCGATGTAGTACTTGTAAGATAAGTACAAATACTCTTTAGTTACCTTATTTCTAATTGATGTATGACTTAGAAGATGAAGGTTATCTTTTAAGTATATATTTTTTAATTTTTTTAATTATCTTATCTCCTAAATACCAACTTAGAATAGTAAGTTATAGGTCTAACTCAACCTTATAAAACATATTTGTAAGGTGAGAATTATCATTCAGTTATAAACTCTTTAATTATTTTATTTCTAGTTGATGTAGGACTTAAGTTTTTTTTAACAAATAATTGTCATTAATAATAAATTTTGATGTGATATAAATTTATTTTTAGTGGTCATTATATAATAGTCATTAATATTTTTATTAAATAATAAAATAGCGGTAATTAATTTATTGCCATTAAATAATTGTCAGTAATACTAAATTTTGTTGTAATGATGATTGAAGGATAAGTTTGATTAGAAAAAAAAATCATATCCTTATCCTAATAATGAACAAGTGTGGTTCTCATATGATGTCATGTTGATGCACTTGCATTTTAGAACACGATCATCACATATTGATGTTACATTTTGTTTAGGACCTAGAAAAATAACTGGAAGCCACAAGATTATGGTGAATGGAAAATTTTAGGGAAAATTCTACGATACACTTACCATAGTAAGTGAGGGATACCGGAACAGTCCAACTTTTTTTTCATTGTTTTCGTTTTTATCTTAATTTAATATTTTTAATAATTTATCTTTATAAAATTTTCTATATTTTATGCATTTTCTTTAATATTTTATCTTACTGTAGTATTTACTATAATTAAATAGTCTAATATTAATATTTTGTTAATACGTTTTAGTTTATATTTGTTTTTTAATTTTTTGAATTTATAGTATAAATTAGTTTTTTAGTTGGAGGAGTAATATTTATGTGGGATGGACCTACTATAAGAATGCTTCATAATAATTATGCAGATGTCATAAATGCTTCTTATAACAACCATAATAAAGTAATCATTTGACTTAAAGACTTTAATGTCATCAAACATTATCTGTAATATGATAATTATAAAGGTAGTTAATTAGGCACATGTGGAGGGATGTGACTGATAAATAATTATCTATAATAGGATAATTAGCGGTTCTGAACATAACTGACCCTCCAAAAGAAGCATCTAGTATCATCTTGGTTTGAGGTTGTAACCCATTATAGAAAGTTTGAACTTGCAGCTCCACCTCAAAACCATGATTAGGGCATCTCCTCAACAATGATTTGTACCTCCCCCATGCTTCACATAATGGCTCATCTGCACCTTGAGCAAAGGTAGCAATAACAGTTATGGCCTCAGTGTTCTTGGAAGGGGGAAAGAACCTGGCTAAGAATTTAGTCTCCACATCCCTCCAAGTGGTTAGGCTTTGATTTGGCTGAGAATGAAGCCAAGCCTTAGCCTTCCCATTCAGGGAGAACGGAAACAACCTCATGAACAATGCCTCTTCATCAGCTCCTGAAACTCCAACTGAACCACACAACTCATAGAAAGTGTAGAGATGAGTATATGGGTCTTCATGATCCAGGCCAGAAAATTGATGAGAGCTAATGAGTTGTAGGAGTGCGGGCTTCATTTTCGCTAGTCTCTCATTCATTGTGGGCCTCATGATGCTAGAGAATTCCCTCGGGCTAGTGTAGGTGAAAACATCACCTATAGTGCGCCTCCGGTTTGGATTGTCATTTGAGCACCACCTTCACCTCCACCTTCACCTCCACCTTCCATAGTGAACTCAAGAATAGCAGAGATAAAAACTTCAGGAATATGAGTGGTTGGTTGGCCAACTGAAAAAAAAAAAAAAAAAAAAAAAAAAAAAACTAGAACGATCATAAGTGGCATGTACATTGTTTTTCTCTAGTAGTTACGTCAGCACCGGTTGGCAACTCCCAAGTAAACTTCCCTTCTTCATTGGCATCTAATAGACAAACGTGCATGGCGGAGATCTTTGCCTCACACCGGAACGTGTGGCAAGCAGAAGGATATTGATGAGTAAATTTGTATTGTGGATAATTTTTAAATTCATTTTGATTTTGCCATAAAATATTTGATTTAATCGAACAAAGTATGAATAATGCGTAATTTATTAAATCTGGTAGGAAGACCAATATAAGTATATATATATATATATATATCCTATATTACATAATAGAAAACTTTGTTCATGATATATGTGCTATTAAAAAATATTAATATAATATATTGTACTATTATTAATAATTTTATTTTCTGTTAAATAAATTAATGTTATACTGAAGAGAGTAATTTTAATACTTATTTTTGCTTCTTTATTTTTTAAATGATTATTTTAGTTTTGTAATTTTTTTTAAATTAACTTTGAATTAATGTTTATATTTCAAAACTAATGATTATTTTTAATTTCGAGATATAACTATAAAATTCCTTTTAATTTATTCAAGATGAGAAACTTATTTTATTTGTCTCACACTAATATTAAAATTACGAAACTTAATTAATATGTAAATAAAAAAGAAATATAAGTATGATGAGTGTAAGACTTGTTTTTTTCTTCTTCCTTTCCCTCAACACTTTCTTTTCTCCTCATTTTCTATTCTTTTGTTCTAGAAGATTCTGAGCCTCCTTGTGGTGTTGTTATTGTTGAAGGTGCTGAATAGAGGTGTGAGGTGCTAGTTGGAAGCACAAACTTTCTTTTTCTTTTTATTTCTCTTCCCCGGAGCTCGGATTCTTCTTCTTTAAGGTGAGGGAAGCTAGATTGTAAACTCGTTGGTTGTGTGTGAGTTTAAGAACTCATTTGGAGTAAAAATGTTGAGAATCATTGATTGATTTGAAGAATTTCTCATTTTCAGGGTTTTGGGAAAATTGGGAAAATGGTGATTTTGATGTGTTTGATGGTTGCATGTTGAAATAAAGTTTGTTTTGGAGTCGTATGAAGTAAATGTATTTCATTTCATGGATTGCATGTGTTTGAGTTGGCTGATTTTCAGGTTTTTGGTTGAAATTTTTGAAGTTGTGAGGGTTGCTGTTTGAGTTCATGCCGGGTGCAGTTCTTGGCGTCGGACGTGCGTTCATCAGGGGACTCCATTGTCATTTGAAGCAAAGTCTCGAGGAAGCCGAGAAGACTGCAGCCAAAGCAATTTCGGTCAATGAAGAGGTGACTGCTAAAAATAAGGATCTAACTGCCGAGTTAGATGTCGTTCGGCGAGACAATGATACTCTGCGCTTGGATCTTCAAAAAATGACTAATGAAGGACATCGCCGAGTGAAAGAAGTTGAGGCTGCGTATAATGCCCTCAAAGAGCAAGCTAAAGAGAAGATCATTTCTCAACATGAAGCGAGGTTCAAACAGGCCGTTCGGCAGGCTAAGCACTTCGGCCAATTTGAAGAAGGTTTTGAGTTTGACATGACTCAAGCCTTCTATCAAGGGTCCCTCATGTCTTTTGCTGATATGCCTGAGGAAGGTGAGCCTGACGATGCCGACCCAAGTGTGGCCCGCCAAGCAGAGGATGATGCTGAAACCTCTGAAGAGAACACGATGGACGAAGAGAACCCTGGGCCTGATAATGAGACTGAGGGAAATCCCGAAACCGTCATCCAGGCTGACTCAACCCACACTCCTGAAGAGTAGCGTTTAGGTTTTTCTTTAATGCAATTTTTGAACTTCTGTAATTTGGAGGCCAATAGAGCCTCCTTCTTTTGAATGAAATGATATTTCTCTTCAAAAATTTGCCTTACTCGATTAATTTTCAAGTATTTGCCTATAATTAACAATAAACATTCGTACTTCAAATTTTTATCTCAAAGTTACACTTTTTGAATAAAGCCGAACGATTTTGCCTCGAATGTACTCCTTTTTAAACAAAATCGAACGACTTTGCCTCAAATTTATATTTTGTTGGTAAAACCGAAGAGATTTGCATTGGACATGTTCTCTTCTTAGGCAAAACCGAACAGACTTGTTTCGGATTTGTACACTTTTTTGATAAAATCGAACAGGTTTGCTTCGGATTTGTACTCTTTTTTGATAAAACCGAACAGGTTTGCTTCGGATTTGTACTCTCTTTTGATAAAACCGAACAGGTTTGCTTCAGATTTGTACTCCTTTTTTGACAAAACCGAACAGACTTGTTTCGGATTTGTACTCTTTTTTGACAAATCCGAACAGGTTTGCTTCAGATTTGTACTCCTTTTTTGACAAAACCGAACAGACTTGTTTCGGATTTGTACTCTTTTTTGACAAATCCGAACAGGTTTGCTTCAGATTTGTACTCTTTTGTGACAAATCCGAACAGGTTTACTTCGGATTTGTACTCTTTTTCACCTCCACCTCCCCCTTCACCTCCACCTTCCATAGTGAACTCAAGAATAGCAGAGATAAAAACTTCAGGAATATGAGTGGTTGGTTGGCCAACTGGATTTGCTCTATTTCTCTTTCTCCTCCTGTTGCTATTATTCCTCTTTGTCGTGCGTTCAATCTCAGGATCGCTCAACAGCGGCTCAGAAGAATTGGTCCCTCTGGTTCGAATAGTACCTTGCATACAAGAGAAAATAGAAGACTAGAGTGCACAAGTCAGCTCAAAGAATTCATTGCTAAAATAAAAAATAACAATAACAATAAAGGAACAAGTCACAAATAACTATAAA